TTATAATAATTATAACAAATTTTTTTTATAATGAATTTTTATAATAAATATAACGAATTTTTTTAACAAATTTTCACAATAAATTTAAGAAATATAATGAATTTTTTACAATTACTATTAATAGATAAATTAAACGATCATATAAAATTTTTTGATAATCAATTGATCATTTAAAATGCCTAAAGAAAAGAGAAAAAAAATTTCATCTAAAAGCAAAGAGAAAGCTTCTAATATAAAACGAACTAGGGCCTCTCTTACAGGTGCTCAAAAACAAGAAGTTTGTCTAAAAAAATTACAGAAACCAGCACCTAAAAATAAAAAACTTGCTAAAAAATTTAATATTTCAAAGGGAATGATATATAATATTTTAAAAGAAAGTGAAAAATGGTTAGCTTTAAAATTAGATTCTTACGAAGCTTCACTTAAAAGATAGATCAAGCCAAGTTTTTCACAAATTGAAACTTTGGGCTTTTGGGTTAAAAAAGCCATAGATAATAATATTACTATTAATGGTAAATTATTAACATAAAAAGCATGTGATTTTACAACATTACTCAATGTACAAGGCTTTAAAGGATCTGATAGATAGGTAGCAGGTTTTAAAAATGCCATAATCTTGAATGTTATATAAAACATGATGAAGCAGCAAGTGCTTCTTTAGAAGATTTAAATAATATGTGTAAAGATCTTCAAAATATTTTTAAAGAATATTTACCTAATTATATCTTTAATATAAATGAAACTGAACTTTATTAAAAAATGAAACTAAATCGCATTTTATCAACTGGTTCAAGTAAATTAAATATTAATTATTGTAAAATTAATATAAATAATTAGATGAAAATTAAAATAATACTTATCATAGTTGTAGGTAAAAAAAATTCAAGTAACGTGTTACTATTGCATTATGTTATAATGCCTCAGAAACTGAAAAAGTAAAGGCAGTTTTTATTGGAAAAAGTCAAAATCTGCATATCTTAAAAAATATTTCAAAATCATCATTACTAGTGTAATACTATTGGAATAAAATAGCCTATATACAAGTTAGTATTTAGAATGATTGACTAAAGCTCTTTGATTCACGCTTAAGACTTAAAAATAGGCATATAATCTTACTTTATGATGGTGCATCCACTCACAAGTTAAATGAAAATGTTATACTTTCTAATATTCATCTTCATAAATTACCTCCTAATATAACTTCACATCTTTAACTATATGACACTGAAATTATTTATAGTTTTAAAGTAAGTAATTTCTTATAAAAAAATTTAAAAAAAATTTAACTTATTAATAAAATAATAAATATAGGCATAATACCGAAAGTTATTTTTGAAAAATTGTATTAAAGCATTTGATAATAGTCAAGAAACTGGTTAGCCTATATCTGAAATTACAATAAAAAAAGCAATTAAATATATAGCAAAAGCATGAGATTTAGTTCAATTAAAGACTATTATAAATGGTTAGAAAATCCCAGTATTCTTCTATCAAATACAAATGATACGAATGATACAGATGATAATAAAAGTATCGATAATTTTGCAGATCTTACTGATGATTATGACGAAATGAATCAAATACAAGATCTTATTAACTGATTAATTTCTAATATATACAAAAATCCAATTTCTGCAGAAGAATATTTATAATACAAAAAAGATGAAACAAACTATCAAATGATAACTGATAAAAAAATTATAGAAATGATGAAAGAATCTAAAAAATCAAATATCGAAGAGTCAGAAATTCTGATTATCAGTAATTATGAAGCACTAATAGTATTCAATCAAGTAATTGCATATATGAAACAAAAATCTGATAAAATAGATTTTTCAAAAGATCAAATTTAAGTCTTAAAAAAAATGCGTAAAGTAGTAAAACGAGAAAAGTTCTATTCTAAACAGCAAATTACTTTGGAATTGTATTTTACTAATAAAGAATAGCAGGATTTTTCAGTAGTTTATTTGTAATGAAAAAGTGAAAAACTTATAATAAAGTTGTGCTGAGTTTATATTGTATCTAATTAAAAAATCGATTACTAATTGACTTTCTGAATATATATAAATATAACATTTTTTATTATTATCAATATACTGAATTTAGATAAGATATTTGGTATTGCTATATAATGAATAAATATTTAAAATTTGGTAAATCATTACCAAATTTTTTTATTATAACGAATCATAACCTCTAGAAATTAAGATTCGCTATAGAGAACTTGGACTATATAATTAAATATATAGACGTATATACTAATATGTATTAGAAATTGGTTGATTAACCTGTCGATTGGTGTTAATCATGCTTAAATACTAAAATTGCAGAACAATTGGATGCAAATTAAGTCAGAGATTGATAGAAACTTAGCCTTCGCTGATAGGCCTGTAATGGGTACTATCTCACATCTTCAATCTCAAGACCTTTATACAAGTAAGGAAGTGATTAACTAGTAATTAATAGATTAAGTAACATCTTAAGATACACTTAAGGTGATTATGGTTGATAATAGACTGCATTGCACTACTGCAGCAACCATCCAATCGAGCTATCAATTGGGATAGAGGCTGGGTTTAATTCCTGAGTGAGTTTGATAATATAGGTATAACAGTTACCTATCTTTCTGAGATCCTATAAAGATGATAACATCTAAACCTTTACAATCATGTGTAAAACTCTAATATTGGTAAAGGTAATAGCGATTCTAATTGGTATTGGTAAAGACAGGGAAAATAATTGACTAAAAGTACCTGTAGCTAAAAGTGATCCTTCTATTCAAATTTGATAGTGATTCTAAGATCCAGTGACCCTGGAGTTCTACTCTTAGAAGGTCACCTGTGTAGCAATCCTTAGACCAGTATATCAATGAGATTAGAGCTAATAATTGAATTAGTCAAGATCTTCCCAGAAATTGTGTTGGCAGTAGTAAGGATTCATATAACTTGTGCATGTCATTTCTTTGCCATATGATCCCTCTGATATATCAAATACTAAAAAAAATAAAATAAAACAAAGTAAGAGGGATTAGTATTTCTAGTTTAGTTGATAACAACTGAGCTTCTATTGTGGGTTACAGATTTAAGTCTCAGCTGAGACATAAAATAAGATAATTTTCATAAGAATTTCATATGTAATTGAATATGTAGTCGTATATATTAATATGAGAGAAACTGATTGATTAACCTATCAATCGGTATTAATCATACTTAAATACTGAAATTGCAGAACAAGTGAATGCAAATAAAGAATAGGATCAATAAAAACTTGGCCTGAAGGTTCAACTTAAAGAAAAACTCAGAACTTAAAGTTAGTGAATAAGTCTATTTGTTGTGAGCTAAAAATCTTGAATTTATATTAGTTTATCTCAGAAAGATTCTTTTTTTAACACAGAAAACAAAAGAGAACTGATTGTCTTGAGCCTGTGATCATGTGAATTATAATTAAAAAAAAGTAGTATTTTTTAATGAAACTACATTTTAAATGTTTTATAATACCTTTTCTACATAGTTATATGACAAAAAACCTATTGCTTTAATGATAAAACACTCATTTAAAATTTATGTTTAAGGTGCAATTAGCATTAAGAAAAAAATTGAAATGTACATATTCACTGAAAATTTAGATCATCATTATATTATCAAATTTTGAATGAACATTTAGATGATAATGCAAATGCAATGTATGGTAACTAATGGGTCTTTTAGCAAAATAATAACCTAAAACTTACTTCCCGTGCTGTTTAAGGTGATTAAAAACTCACTTTTTAGATTAGATTCTTTTTTAGCCTTTCTATAGTCCTGATCTTAATCCTATTGAGAATGTTTAAGTTATTTTAAAAAAAAATGTTGAGAAAGAGATTAAAAGAATAGTGATATAAAGGAAAAATTTTCAAAAGAAATTATTTAAATTTAATTAGAAAGAAATAGGATAATATTGAAAATATCATAATAGTTAATTGCATTAATAGCATGTCAAATTATATTAATATATGTATTAAAATAAAAGGTGATCATACAAAATATTAATTAATTAATAAAATATATGTAATCTTGATCTATCTTTCAGAAAATAAAAAATTTTTTAATATTATTATAAAATTACATACATATTATTAAAAAATTAGATGCCATTACTTTTACTGAAGTCTATACATCTTCATAAACTTCTTCTAATGATTTATTAGTAATATTTTTCTATTTGAAAGCTTAAAATATGATCAAAGATATTTAAAAAATTAAATAATAAGGAATTATCAACAAAAGTAAATAGTATTTCAACTGAAAATAATGCTTAAGCTAGTAAAAATTCAAGAGATTCTTGTTTTTCTTTCTTTATACTATTAATAAAATTATCTAATTTGATTTGTTTTTTAGATCTATTTATTTTATAAAAAGGTGTATTTGTATTAGTTAAAGGATGTTTTGTGATATTTGAAGGTATAGGATTTTGTATTAGAATGGTTTTTTGTAATTTAATATTACTTGATGTATTTAAATACTCATTAAGATAAGTTTGCATTCTTAAAAGAATAGCTCTATTGAAAACTTTAGAATAATAATTACATTTTATAAAAGGATATAAACTTGATTTAATCTTATTATTTTCTATTAAATTTTGTATAATAATTATTTATTGATTTTAAATAGTTTCCTTTTTTTACTATTTTGAATAAAAAAACTAAAGAATTATTGAAAATGTACTTCAAAAAGTGTTAACTTTATTCTTAAATTAAATATTTGATAAGTTAAAAGTAGTAAGAATAAGAAAAACAAGAAAAATAAGCAAAGTTAATTAATATAATTTTAGGTTTTACATATTAAAAAGGTTAAAAGAAAAAATTTACATATTTAAAATTAAACTTTTGTAAAATATTAAATGAAAAAAATAATCTATTATCTATATTAATTTATTAATTTTATTAGTTAATATTCTTTGATTTGATTGGTCAATTTAAAATTAACCAAAATGGTTAATTAATCAGATTAATTAATGCCAATCCTTATTATAGGTATTTTATTAAATACTGAATATTATAAGCAGTAGGATACTATAAATAAAGATATAATATTGCAGAGATATTTTGTAATAATCATAAATATTATACAAACAATTATTAAATTTAATATTTAACTTAACAATATTTAACTTAACAATATTTAACTTAATAATATATCTTTCAGATTATTCTTTTTAATTTTTTTAAAGAAACAATTTTAATAATTTTTTTTATTTTGCTATCAAAATTTCTTTTTTTATTGACTAATTTTGAAATCTTTTATATTTTTATATTTAAAAATAAATTTGCTTTTAAATTTTCTAAAAAATACCAACAAATTATAATGTATTTTCATATTAGATAATCAAAAATCATTTTTATTGAATTATTTTCAAATTTAATATTTTATAATTTTTATGTATTTAGTAAATTAT